AAAAAAAAAAAAAAAAACCAAAACAGGTAATAATTTTGACTATTAAAATTTAAAAAACAATTAAAATAAAAAATATAAATAGATAATAGTTCAGAGCTTATGTGCAACGACACGTGCAGCCCCATTGTTTATGGGCCCCATAACACAACAGATTTTGTAGGGCCACACGTCAAGACGATGTCACGTGTGACTGCTTACCTTCCAGCTGTCCACTCTCTCCTCTTCTCTAGATAGAGGAAGCCCAACATACATCTCCGCCGCTGCAACAATTTCTTTCTCTCCAGCCCAAAAAAAAACCCTTGAGAAAATGTCGAAAATCCCACACGAAATCATAACCGATATTTTCCAACAACTTCCCGTCAAATCTCTCCTCCGGTTCAGATCTCTATCAAAGCCGATTTGCTCCTTAATCGACGGCCCAGATTTCATCAAGCTTCATCTATACCATTCCATCACCGCCAAATCGAATCACAGTGTCATCCTCAAAGAATGGGATCTTTTCACTGTCGATTTTGACACCCTTTCAGACGCTGTGGAGGTTAAGCACCACCCCCTTTACGCAGCTGGGGGCACGGAGGTGATTGGTTCAGTTAATGGGTTGGTGTTTTTGAGACATTCGGAGAGGAATCTTGCGGTGTATAATTTGTCTACGAGGGAGTGGAAGAAATGTTTCGTGGTAGAAATTAAGCCTCCCAGAAGAGATTTGATTACAGGGTATGTATATTATGGGTTTGGTTATGATTATGTTGGTGATGATTATAAAGTGGTGAGGATGGCACAATTCGTTAGGGAAGATGGCGGTGGCTGCGGCGGTGATGGCGATGGTGGTGGTGGTTTGGGTTGTGAATATGAAGTTAGGGTTTATAGTTTGAAGAATGATAAATGGAAGAAAATTGAAGATTTGCCAATTTGTCTCAAGTTATTAAGCAAGCAATTTTTTCATGTTTTGCATAGGAGAGGGTATGGTGTTTTTGCTGGTCATGCTTTGCATTGGATTGTCCCTCAAAGGCGTCAACTTGGTATTAGAGATTGTGTTCTTGGGTTTGATATTAGGAACGATAAGTTTTTCGAATTACCGCAACCCAATTATGAGAGCAAAGGTATGAGCTTTCAGGTTGATATTGGGGTTTTGGAAGGGAATTTGTGTGTAATGTGTAATTATGAGCATGTTTGTGTTGATGTTTGGGTCATGAGGGAGTATGGCATGAAGGAATCTTGGTGCAAGATGTTTTCTGTTCAAGGGATTAAGTGGATTGGTGCTTTTATGTTTTTGAGACCTTTGATTTATTCTAAGGATGGTGGTAAGGTGTTGTTGGAGGTGAATGATGAAAAGCTTGTGTGGTATGATTGGAAAAATAAGCATGCTAAGGTTGTAAAGATCCGTGGTGGACCGAATTCATATGGTTCTGAAATGTATGTGGAAAGTCTTGTTAGGATCAATGATGGTGATCGAAACGGCTGGAAGAAGCAGCAAGAGATAGATGAGGAAGAGGAGAAGAGGAAGGCAGATAGGAAGAAGAGGTAAGATAGTGTGAATTTTTTTTATGTGTTTGATTCTTTTGAAGCCATTTAATCCTATCTTCATCAAAAAAATAGAAATCCAAGTAATGTTCATAGGTAGTCTGTTAAGTTTTTAATTTTGGTTCACAAAAAAATAACTTTGTAGTCATGGTCGTGGACTCATGGACGGTGTAGCTTTCTCTCTTTATAAGTTAAATAATTTTTCCAGGTTATGTTTATTTGAGTAGCAAGTGATGAAAAGTCAGTCCACATTTTCAATTTGGGTGAAGAGCCATTATAACAGTTTTTGATTGGCTCTCTAGCAATAATTTTTATGCAAGTTTGTGTAAATTTAAATTCTTATTTTGTACTGTTCCGTCAAAGGCTTCATGTGGTCATTTGTTTATTTTGATTTAGTACCTTATGTCAGTTGTGTCTCTCAGGGATGATTTCCTGTCTGTGGGGTTCAAGCTGAAGTTGTAGGGCCACCAGAGAAAGAGGATACCGCACAGAGGCGAAATGGAAGGAGGTGAGCTTTTAGCTTGGCCCATTGAACAAATGCTTTCATTCTGCTGTCTGGTTTAAGCAATGTAAAGATCAAGGCAATTAGATTTAAGTTTTCATGTTTCAGAGGGCTGATATCTACTTCCGTTTCGGCAGATATTCTTGCTCCTTTTTTTTCTTTTCTGTTTGACCCAGGGTTGAAACTGAAGACTACACATGCTGGTTTGAAGACAGAAAATGTGGAGAAGAAGGCTCCAAGCAGTGTCTACTGTGCCTTATGTTGAAAGTAGTATACAATGTTAGATTTGGTTTTAGGACATTCTGATAAGAAAAATCAGATACTTTCTGCCTTACCGGCGCAAGAGGAACTCTGGAACTCATGTATAGTGTTTCAAGATAGAGAAGTTAGTCTATGTACTTTTTGAAGTTGTAGGAAACTTTTCAGAAATGATAAAATGAAGTCATTAGCCTACAAATTTATGGTGTTTTTTCACGCAAGGTTATGGGTAGGTTGGTTTGTTTTTACATTTTAAAAGTGTTTTGTTTTTGAAAAAAATTAAATATATATTTTTTTGGTGTTTTTAATTATTTTTTTTTGATGTATTGATATTAAGAATAAATTTTAAAAAATAAAAAATATAAATCTGTGACATCTGGTAGATGACTGGATATGATAGGAACATTTCACAGGAGACTTGCTGTGGAAATAATAATTCACATGTACTTTGCCGTGTAGATTCATTTTGGGGGAAGTAATTTAGGGCTATTGGATTTGAGCTAGATATCAAAGGACTCACTAGGACCATTAGATCCAAATCCACTGGCCTGGCTGTGAAGCAACCATTCTGTTCTTGTGATGTGGAAATGGAATCATGAAATTTCTGGGAAACATCTGGTTTTTTCCTATAATTGAACTTGGTTACTTCCTTCTCAAGCTGTTTAATTCGATGTGCTTAGATGGTTTTAGTGTACAGTTCTTCGAGCATCAATGCAAGGACAATCCAAACTTGAACAATGTCAATTGCCAACCCCAATAGTTCAAGATTCATGGAATGATTGCTTGTTTGAACAAAATGCAAGTTATTTTTGGCGAATGCTGCAGATTTCTTCGAACGCATTTCATTCCATAGGGAATGGCTTTCTCTTTATACAAATACTCTGTGTACCCCTCAGACCCGCTTCAGCCTTTTTTAGCTATCTAGGGCAAGCCCCCATTTCCTCAATGATGCCAAAAGTGGAAAGCGATTTCTTTGCCTAGCCACTATGCTTACAGGCTGCTGCTTCAAGCAAAGTGTCAAGAAGATGCTTCCAAAGTAATATCATGGGCCATTTGTGATGGTTGCTGCTTCCTTAGGCAATAATAAAGTGCGCTTTGGTACTATTGGACATCTTGCAAGTGGATCGGTCAACTTGTCATTAATCTAAAGGCTTAAGGTTAACTACCAGTAACAAATTGACATGTGTCATTATTTAGGGTTTGTGTCCCTTCCTTGGTTAACAAAAAAAAAAAAAGCCTCATGGTTGCTGGCACCTTGGTTTATGCCTTGTGTTTGAACTTTGAGCATTTGTGGATGTAAAAAATCCACATAAGCTAAATAACATGGGCGCTGCTTATAGTTATCAATACAAGACTATTCACATGCATAGTTATTAAACTCGGTTTGGAGGTTGACTGGTTA